CTGGAGGAGACAAGCTCCATAATGGCGGTGGCGGAGGCGGCGACGGTCGGAAAGTACGAGGTTGTTCCGTTCAAGGAGAGCGTGGCGTTGGCCGTAGAGTCGAAGGAGCCATATTTGGACTTCAAGAAGTCGATGGAGGAGATGGTGGAGGCTCTTGAATTGAAGGATTGGAAGGCCATGGAGGCCCTCTTTGCTTGGTATTTGAATGCTAATGGACAATCCAATCATCACTTCATTATTGCTGCCTTTGTCGATTTATTGCTTCCTCCTCATCATAATCTTCCTTATAATTATATTTCTTCCTATTCCAACTCCAATTCTTCTTGTTCTTGTTGTTTTTTTAATAATTCTTCTTCTTCTTCTTCTTCGTTTTCTTCTTCTGATTCTTGTTGCTCTTCTTTTGGCATTAATGCCACACCGCCACCATCATCTTGTTGTATAATTATGGAGGATATTGAGTGTTCTTCTTCTTCAATTGCTCCTTGTCTCTCTTCTTTGTTTGAAGATGATGAGGAGGAGGAGGAGCAAGAGGAGGATCTTCAACAACAACATTTTTAATTTAACCCCATTTTAATTAGTGTTTAATCATATTCATATTTTCAGCTTACAGTGTCATTTTTTTTGTGTTTTTTAGGGACCATATATTGATGAGATCCACTAGCTTTTATGATCTAAAACTTATTTGAGGGATTAGAATAACAGTGTTGTTTAGGATTCTACGATGTTGAAAGTACTTAGAAAACGATTAATTGTAATTTTTCAATCGTATAAATGTTGCCAATAGACCCGAACATAGTTAGATAAGACGTCAATTATCTTCCTTGAGATTGAAAGTTACGTTTCCTACACCACTGTAATTATTGAACTTAAAAAAGAATGATTTGTATGCTATAGTACTCTTCCTCCCTCTCTCATGAATTTAGGAGTTGTCCCTCTCTCTATATTATTTCTCTCTTTCACAAAAGGAACTCTCCCTTCCCTTCTCTCCTTCCATTCAATAATGTGAACTAGGGGCATTTTTTGGAAAGGCAAGGCAGTTTAGTACTTTAGTCTTTTTTTCTTTTTTTTTTTTTTAAAAAAAATGGGTTGGAAATAATTTCAAGTTATATTTTGGATCTGAAAAAGTGAATTATTGGTCTTTTTATAGACATAGAATTATCCTCAACTTAAAGAGAATATTTATCCGCATTTGATAACTTTATATGGTTTTTTAAATCAAGAATGATAAAATAATATGTTTTAGAAAAAAAATTGAGAAATTTGATTTTGTTGTTTTTAAATTTTCTATATAATTTTAAAAATGTTTCTAAATGATAGAAACAAAAAAACAAGAAACCAAAACTCAGTATAAAATCATTAGCATTTGTATAATGTGATATCCTTTGTTGACATTTCAAGTGCACTTAAACAAAAGTATCTTAAATGGATTGTTTCTTTAATAATCATTAAAAAAAAAAAGAAAAAAAACCCATGAGGTACCAACCAGCTGTTTGTTTGTAGGCTTACAACTAAGATAATTTTGTTTTGTTTTCTTTATGCAAATTATAAAGCAAAACAAAACAAATCTCACTCTCCCTCTGTAATATAATTAATTGTAATTGTTTTTTTCATGAAAAAGCCAAGAGTTGCATTAAACCAACCAACCATATCCCTCAAAGGGTAATTTTCCCATTTGCATCTTCCATGTAGTGATTTATTTTTTCTAAAGTTAAAATTTACATAACATTATACTTGAGAATTTAAAATTCATCAAAACTAGAGGGTAATTTTCTTAGCCAATGCAAGCTGAAAGATTGACCAAAAAAGGTGAAGCTTAGGTTTGGCATAGAATTTTGTTCATTTCAAATCTATAAATTAACTAATTAATTCCATAAACTATACAAACCTAACTTTATAAAACTTATCTAAAACTATATACTAAAACCATTACAAATCATAAAACAAAAAATCAAACTCAGGTTACACGATTTCAGATTTCAAACTGTTTGTTGAACGAGGAATGATCCGGTACACACTCTCGTAGGAGAGTAAGGTAAACGAGCGAGATCGAGTGGTCCACGTGGGGAGAATCGGTAGGCGTGATGAGATAGAGGCAAGATGAAGCAATGAGAGCCATAGATTTTGAAAAAAAGGGGTGAAGTCATTTTCAAAAGACAGAAACAATAGAAATCCAGCGCAGAAGTTTGGCATTGTCGAAGGAAACACTTGGTTTATATCCTTAGCCTTACACTGCAGCTGCTGCAGCAGCAGCATATTTATCGTCTGCCAAAGAAAAAAAATTAAAAAAACAACAGATTTCATATCAGAATTTTCTTGGGCATGTCTGTGTTCTAAATTTGTCACCACCGCTCCAAATCATTTCCATTATTCAAAATATTCCTTTCCCCCTTTTTTCATTTTTCTTAACAAAAATTTTTTTAATTGAAATGCAGCATGTTTTGTAATTTATTCTGGATTTTTGTAGGGTTAATATATATTGTTTGGATTTTTTATTTCGTCTCTATATAATGGCAACTTACCCACTAAACTTTAGAATGTGAAACTTTTTTACCTCGTGTTTTTAGTGATGATATATGAGATATGATATTCAACCAAAACTAGCTAATTTAGTGACGAATTATGAGACAACGACTCGATAAAATAAAGCAATATTATTGTGTCTATGAGAGAAATTGAATATGTTATTTTAAAAAGTTTCAATGAAGTTGTTGAATTTTTTGACATTAATTATTATTTGGTGATGATCATATGACATATGTTTGGACAAAAACTATCTTATTTAGTTGATTTAGCACCACGTGACAAATAAATGAACTAATAAAATAAGAAATACATACGGTCCATGAAATAAATTTTATATGTTATTTTTTAAATTAGGGTATGTTATTTTGACATGAGCGTTGCTCAATGTTTGGGGAAGGGAATACCCTGGACACGTGGAGGACCCCTATTGGTGCTCCAAGATGGCTCATAAGTCATGCCCAGCTCGGACGGCCGAGA